ATAAAAGACTTACTTACTTACTTAAGCTGGTGCGCCTTATTGTCCAAAAAATATGGCCCTTTAACTTTAAGAGAATTTTTGGTATATTTTACTAAATTATTTTGTGACAGAGCTACAGTTTTGTTGCTTGTTTAGTGGAATGAAACTCATTTACGTGACACATTTGACATATTCACTTTTTTGATGATGAAAATGTTTGTATTTTACATTAACTTTGCACAAAAAATGGTTTAACAAAGGCTTTTAGTATCACTGCCATGATTTAGACATTATTTTTTATTGAACCATATCGAATCGATTTGAAAGATATCGTATCAAACCAAAAGTGCACTGTATTAAGACACTTATATCGTGGCCTGTGTATCGAGGTATGTATCGTATCGTGACCTGTGTATCGAGGTATGTATCGTATCGTGACCTGTGTATCGAACTATGTATCATATTGTGACTTGTGTTTCGAGGTATGTATCGTATCGTAGCCTGTGTATCGAACTAGATATCGTATCGTAACCTGTGTATCGAGGTATGTATCGTATCGTGATCTGTGTATCGAACTATGTATCGTATCGTGACTTGTGTATCGAGGTATGTATCATATCATGGCCTGTGTATCGAAGTATGTATCGTATCGTGGCCTGTGTATCGAACTATGTATCGTATCGTAGCCTGTGTATTGAGATATGTATCGTATCGTGACTTGTGTATCGAGGTATGTATCGTTTCGTGACCTGTGTATCGAACTATGTATCATATTGTGACTTGTGTTTCGAGGTATGTATCGTATCGTAGCCTGTGTATCGAAGTATGTATCGTATCGTAGCCTGTGTTTCGAACTATGTATCGTATCGTGACTTGTGTATCGAGGTATGTATCGTATCGTGACTTGTGTATCGAGGTATGTATCGTATCGTGACTTGTGTATCGAGGTATGTATTATATCGTAGCCTGTGTATCGGGGTATGTATCGTATCGTGACTTGTGTATCGAGGTATGTATCATATCGTAGCCTGTGTATCGGGGTATGTATCGTATCGTGACTTGTGTATCGAGGTATGTATCATATCGTAGCCTGTGTATCGAGGTATGTATCATATCGTAGCCTGTGTATCGAGGTATGTATCATATCGTAGCCTGTGTATCGAGGTATGTATCATATCGTAGCCTGTGTATCGAGGTATGTATCATATCTTAGCCTGTGTATCGAGGTATGTATCATATCTTAGCCTGTGTATCGGGGTATGTATCGTATTGTGACTTGTGTATCGAGGTATGTATCATATCGTAGCCTGTGTATCGAGGTATGTATCATATCTTAGCCTGTGTATCGGGGTATGTATCGTATTGTGACTTGTGTATCGAGGTATGTATCATATCATGGCCTGTGTATCGAAGTATGTATCATATCGGCAACTTCTTAATGATACCCGGCCCTATCTACATCTCTCTATTGGCAGAAATTTCAGCAGTTGCCACGGTGACGCAATGCAGTGCAATTAGCAAAAAAACTGCCAAAATGTTTTAATAACACATTTGCAAGAGCCTGTGATCAATACGAGAGTTCATGGTCCTGTCCAGGCGTTTCATTTTCAACAAAAGAGGTGAGAGTGATTAACTGAAAAACTGTGACCGTAGTTTTACGTGTAAGAAACTTGTTCAAGCGCACAAATCATCTCACCTGTTGTAGCTCTAACCCAATTCCTTCTCTTTGTTCATATTGTGTTAAAACAAAAATCTGATCATTTGAGTAACAGAGCTTCAAAGTATGTAAGTTTATGTATTTTATGTGACAATTAGTGTAAATTCTTTAGCCACAGTTGCCCTGGGTTGGACAGGCAGAAGCAAAAATGCTAATTTGTGCCATTCTTTCACAAGCAAGATGGTTAAAGTGTCTTGCCCAAGGACACAATGACAGTATAAGAGACTTGTAATTCGATATACTGTGATGGTCCACGATATTATTGTGAGAACTTCGACGATACGATATCACAATATTTTGGTTATTGTTACATCCCTTTTAAACATGTGTGAATGAAACAAAACACAACAGGTATGTTTCTGATGAGGAAACATTGGGCACATTTACATGATGTTTTTTTTAATTTTGAATTAATTGTTCTGAATTAAATAGTTCAGAATTAATACATTCTGGAAATAATAATACCAAATTGAGGTTTGCATGGAAAACATGTTAAATCGGCTTTATTTAAAGGTTGTATGGAGGATTTTTTTTGTTTTGTTTTTTTGTTTCAAGTTGTCAATGATAGCATTATAAAGGTGCAGTAGCCTTGTAATTATGATGACCAAAAAAAAGAGAATAAAAATTCATCAACTCTGGACGTGGTGGGGCTAAACATTTGCCAATAGATAACGACACTGCCACGTTATCTGTTAGCTGACAGGCTGTCAATCAATCTCCCTACATTTCTAGCGTAACTGACTTGCCTGCGCGCTGCCGTTACGTGGTTTACGTACGACTGTCACGCAGTCCACAGACGCAAGACGCACAGACGCTGTTTACTCCACCAACGCAACAGTTCTTAGCGGCTTTTTTTTACCTATATCTTCCTCGCAGTTTGCACAAAGTTTGTTGCAATGGCGACAAGAATCCAGGAGCAGTTCGCCGCAAAAGAAAGTCTGTTTTTGAGGTCGCTGAAAGAAGAAGACAAGGGGAAAAGCAGCGAAGCCAAACTAAGGTGATTCTTGGAGATTCATTCCAGCGATGGCGCGACTGAAGCAGACGCAGGGTCTAAAGACTGACGCATTGGTCGCACAAATTACTCCTGGACAGGTCACTTCTGCTTATTATGAAAACGTACTTTATTTCCAAGAGCTAGACAAACGTTTTTCAGGACACGAAAGCGATATCCTATGTCTGAAAACGTAATTTTCAAGGCAAAGAAAGAGTCCGCTTGCTGCTGCGTGTTGTAGCTAGTTCATTCGCACTGAATCTCCGCGCACTCTTCTCTGCACCCCTTTCCTACTCCTGTCCCCGCTGCCCGATCCACTCTTCCCCCTGCTCCTCACTTCTCCGGGCACGGAATCTCCGCGCACCGCTCCCCTCTCCTCTCTCCTCTCTCCCTGCTCCGCTCTTCTCCCCGCTCCTCACTTCTCCGTCTTGCCTAACCAACACTGTAGTTAGTTGTTTACGAGTCATGTGCAGCGCACCGGCTGTAAACAAACCTGTTTCTGGTGTAAGGAGGAGGCGAGAGGAGGCATTTCTACGTAGGAGCTGTAGGGGAGGGGGGGTGGTTTCACGCATGCGCAACATTTGAAAAAGGACAAACAGTCGCTGGATTTCTCGTTCTTTGGAAAATCCTCTATACAACCTTTAATTCCACTCAACATCTGGGGGTGGGGAAATATTCCGATCGGACAGGGACACGAACGTATTTACGTCGTCTTATGAGGTTCATTTCATCTTCCGATATTTTATGTTATTAGGTTCTTTCTACAGGGATGAGATGTATAAACAGGAACAAGGGGGCTTTTTTACTCTCACACACCTGGGATACTGTCCTGAGGAAGTGGGACTGAAGATGGCGCTGTCGTCCTGCCTCCACTGGTAGGGAGACAGCGTCAAAACCTGTTTATATCAGCTGAACGGACATGTCACAGCAACATCACATGACCAATCTGAGGAAGGCCGAGAGTGAGCAGTCAAAACTGTCAGGTATGAAAATAAACTCTTGGTCTGAAAAAAGAACCTAATAATTTACGTCGACTGGAAGAAAACACACACTTCAGCTGCTACCGGCTTTTTTGTCATCTCGGTTTGTCGTTACGCCACGGACAGAAACACGATCCAAACTTTTTTCGCAGTTGTTCTGATGATAATTAAGCAGTGACTGGAGAATTCTGTCATCACGCTTTACGTCTGTCGGCTGAGGAGGAGAAGGGAAGAGTGTCGGAGAAGGAGGAAGAAGACAAACTGAGTCAACGGCTGCTCTACCTCAGCCCACTCCCGCATCCCACTCACAAATCCAAAGAGACGTGGATGCAAGTCCGAAGCCAGGACTGGTGGAGCCGGATCGCGTCAGAAGGGCGACTCAACGAGCATGCAATGAACGACGGGAATTACTTTTAAGAAGAATAAACATTTACATGATCGAGGAATAAATTAATTTGTTTTTAAAATCGTGAATAATCATTTTCATAGGAATTAAGTGTTTAGATCACAGGTGTCAAACATACGGCCCGGGGGCCAGATCCGGCCCTCCAAGACCTTTAATGTGGCCCTCGGCTGATTTTCTACTAAAATATTTTAATTATATTTTCTATTAAAATATTGGTAATTTTCTGCGGTGCTTAGCATATCAGCATCTCCAGCGTCTCTGTACGTGGCCCCTCCCACCAGAGCAGCACAAATGAAGACTTGTCTCTTTCCAAACGCTCTTAAAGGACGATCGTTTTGACTGTTGACCGTGACACCCTCATCAGAAAAATGTCAAAAATGAGAAAAGTGGAGCAGAGTGCAGGATTTTCCAAGAAAAATTGACTTATTCCTATTTGCAAACAAGTTAATGTTAAAACATTGTGTTGAAATTGTATTTTTCTTAAAGTTTCAGGTTGATTCATAATATATATATTTTGTAAAAGAAAGAGTTCATCAATTAAAAAAGATTTCTGTAATAGATTTGTGTTTCTCTGCACAAATATTTGAACTTATTGTTATTTTTGGGGTTTATATGACATGAGTTTTCTGATCCGGCCCCTTTGAGATCAAAATAGGTTGGATACGGCCCCTGGACCAAAATGAGTTTGACACTCCTGGTTTAGATGGTCTTTTTAAAGTGGAATACATTTTTATTCAGGATTAAAGCTCTCAGGTAAATGTGGAACTATAACATAAATGAGAAAATAGCGCCATATGGGCCATTTATATAATACTGGTCTATAGAATTTTCCCTAGCACACAGTCGAGCGGCGTTGTGTTTTTGTGTGTATATATGCAATAAATGTAATATAAAAAAACAAAAACATCGTGGTGTTTAGCGTCTTACATTCCACAGAGAGTTTGATGGGGTAGACCCAGGTTTGGTCTTGTGTCCTCTGGTCCACGAGGCAGGTGAGCTCTCTGCCGTTGTCTGCGGCCGTAGGGACCAGCCTGTACTCGCTCCTCACCGTCACAGTCCCGTCCGGTCCGCTGGTGCTGCTGGTGGAGTGGTTCCCCCCCACGGAGCCCAGCCACCGGATACTGGCCGCGGGCTTCCCCTCCACAGCCTCACAGCGCGCCACCACCACCGCTTTGGGCCCCGCCTCCACCGTCACCACCCGCGCGGCGTTCTTCGGTTTAGCTGCGGACAGAAAGAGATGATAATCAGTCACTGTTTTTATCTTTACTGTACTATTTGATTATTGATCTTTGATATTTTAATATGTGTTCTGTAAAGTGTCTTTGAGTGTCCAGAAAAGTACTATATCAATAAAATGTAGACAATTATTATTAGTAGTATTAGTAGTAGTATTATAAGTAGTAGTAGGGGTGGGGGACTTGCAAGTTGGACTCAAGTCAGTCTTGAGTCACTATTTTTAGGACTTGAGACTTGACTTGATAAAACTGATTAAGACTCGGGACTTGACTTGGACTTGAGGCCTGTGACTTGAGAAGCACTTTTAAATCTGAATTCTTTCTATTCTGACCGTAATGATTCACACAAATAGTAGTAGAAGTAGTAGTAGTAGTAGAAGTAGTAGTTGTAGTAGTAGTAAAGGTAGAAGCAGTAGAAGTAGTAGTAGTAGTAGTAGTAGTAGTAGTAGTAGTAGTAGTAGAAGTAGTAGTAGTAGTAGTAGTAGTAGTAAGTAGTAGTAGTAGTAGTAGAAGTAGTAGTAGTAGTAGAAGTAGTAGTTGTAGTAGTAGTAAAGGTAGAAGCAGTAGAAGTAGTAGTAGTAGAAGTAGTAGTAGTAGTAGTAGTAGTAGTAGTAGTAGTAGTAGAAGTAGTAGTAGTAGTAGAGTAGTAGTAGTAGAAGTAGAGTAGTAGTAGTAGAAGTAGAAGTAGTAGTAGTAGTAGAAGTAGTAGTTGTAGTAGTAGTAAAGGTAGAAGCAGTAGAAGTAGTAGTAGTAGTAGTAGTAGTAAGTAGTAGAAGTAGTATAGTAGTAAGTAGTAAAGTAGTAGTAGTAAGTAGTAGTAGTAGTAGTAGTAGTAGTAGAAGTAGAAGAGTAGTAGAAGTAGTAGAAGTAGTAGTAGTAGTAGTAGTAGTAGTAAGTATAAGTAATGTAGTAGTAAGTAGTAGTAGTAGTAGTAGAAGTAGTAGTAGTAAGTAGTAGTAGTAGTAGTAGTAGTAGTAGTAGTAGTAGTAGTAGTAGTAGTAGTAGTAGTAGTAGTAGTAGTAGAAGTAGTAGAAGTAGTAGTAGTAGTAGTAGTAGAGTAGTAGAGTAGTAGTAGTAGTAGTAGTAGTAGTATAGTAGTAAGTAGTAGTAGTAGTAGTAGTAGTAGTAAGTAGTAAGTAAGTAGTAGTAGTAGTAGTAGTAGTAGTAGTAGTAAGAAGTAGTAGTAAGTAGTAGTAGTAGTAGAAGTAGTAGTAGTAGTAGTAGTAGTAGTAGTAGTAGTAGTAGTAGTAGTAGTAGTAGTAGTAGTAGTAGTAGTAGTAGTAGTAGTAGTAGTAGTAGTAGTAGTAGTAGTAGTAGTAGTAGTAGTAGTAGTAGTAGTAGTAGTAGTAGTAGTAGTAGAAGTAGTAGTAGTAGTAGTAGTAGTAGTAGTAGTAGTAGTAGTAGTAGTAGTAGTAGTAGTAGTAGTAGTAGTAGTAGTAGTAGTAGTAGTAGTAGTAGTAGTAGTAGTAGTAGTAGTAGTAGTAGTAGTAGTAGTAAGTAGTAGTAGTAGTAGTAGTAGTAGTAGTAGTAGTAGTAGTAGTAGTAGTAGTAGTAGTAGTAGTAGTAGTAGTAGTAGTAGTAGTAGTAGTAGTAGTAGTAGTAGTAGTAGTAGTAGTAGTAGTAGTAGTAGTAGTAGTAGTAGTAGTAGTAGTAGTAGTAGTAGTAGTAGTAGTAGTAGTAGTAGAGTAGTAGTAGTAGTAGTAGTAGTAGTAGTAGTAGTAGTAGTAGTAGTAGTAGTAGTAGAAGTAGTAGTAGTAGTAGTAGTAGTAGTAGTAGTAGTAAGTAGTAGTAGTAGTAGTAGTAGAAGTGGTAGTAGTAGTAGTAGTAGTAGTAGAAGTGGAGGTAGTAGTAGTAGTAGTAGAGATTATGTTAGACACTAAGCATTTTTACAAAAGAAAAATCCACATTTTGAGGTTTTACTGGACAAATCCTTACAGAAATGTTGAGCCCACAATGTTTTTTCACTTCATCTCCAGATTATAAGACATTTCATCATGAATTATACTTTTTGTGAAGTCCAAATACTATTTTAAGGTTAGAAAAAAAAATAAAAATTCTCATCCTTCTTAACAGAGCAGCAAAGTAACTAAGATATGTCCCTTAGAAACTCAAACGTATTGTTTTTATTTTTCGTTATAATGTCATAAAACCATTTGCATTTATTTGGGATGTAATAATATATAAAAATCTACCGGTACGATATTATCACGATATACATCTCACCGTACGATATTTATTGCGATATTTTGGAGAGGCTCATATAATTTTAGATAGGACACGTTTCTACTTTTAAAATACCTTGACAAGATTTTGGTGTGAATTATTTCCGTCATAATCCCAGGAATTCAAGTAAAAAACATATTTCTTCATGTCGTCTACACTGAAATGAATCATGGGATATGTAGTTCCCAATGTTTATAAGCTGTTGCTATTATAAAACCATGCATTTAAACAAAGGAACTTGTGATTCGATTTATTGTGACGGCCCACGATATTATTGCGAGACTTTTGACGATACGATATCACAATATTTCGGTTATTGTTAAATCCCTGCGCAATAGTCAATCACTGAAAATATATTATGTTAGTTTCATTTTACCTCCAGAATTTTGAACATTGTGATGACATAAGATTTTATTATTCTGTTGTAAAATGTTGGAGCCCAGATTAAATTAACAAAACAATTACTTCGCATAACTGTCTGTACGTCGGCCTAAACATTTCTGACTCACAAAGAAAACATGAAAGAGGGAAAGTGAGAAAGTGTGGACATGAAAGGCTGTTTGGATCAGAGGAGACTCAATACAGCAGGTCTTCTGTGGGTGACAGCGGCTGTAATGACACCCATAGGGAGAGCCACGGCCTGTGCTCTGACCCTGAGGCGCACACATCACAGAGAGGGAGACGCTGATACGTTTCAACACTATTTCTATAGCCGCTCTTCTGAAGGAGACAACTGCTTAAATGCAGTTCAAAGACGCAACGCAATGTGTGGCTGTGAATGAGAATAAAAATACAAGTGACTCAAGATTTTTTTATTTTATTTTTTTCTGAGATTCGGTGCAATTTTAAGGGTCTGTATATGATTTTTACCTTGTATTGAAGCTTTTTTTTTCTTGCCCTATTGCAGATACACCACCAATCAAAAGTTTGGACTCACATTCTCATTTTTTTTTTCTTCTATATACTACTTTCTACTTTACTTTCTACTTTAAAATATATGAAGCACAATATATGACATAACATTTTTGAGGCTAGTTTGAGGATTTGAATATAATATATATTATTTAATAAGTATATTTAAAAAGGGAGTTGCTTAACTGTTTTATTTTATGCTGAACGTTTTTCTAATATTGGTTTAGATGATATCCTTTTTGGACATTGAAATAGATAAAAATAAAAATACAAAAGGTAATAAAAATACAATTTACAGGTCATAGTCAGCCCAGAAAATCTCATAATGTTTGCATTTTTATTTATCCAGAGGTGTTCTGTAGTTATTTGAGGAATAAATAACACCTACATAACACATTTGTATTGGAATAGTCTTATTTTAGTTAAAAGGAAAAAAAAAGTTAGTTAAAAGGAAAAAAGAAAGTGTCAAAAACTTCAGCGAATAGATAAGATAAGATAAGATAAGATAAGATAATCCTTTATTGTCTCCCATGGGAGAAGTTTGTCTTGGGACAGGGGGTAACATGTTTTATCAAAAAAACAGGACAACACAACACAAAGCAGCACATAAACAAACACCATAAAACAAAGTAAATATGAGACCAGTATGACCACGAGTGATGCACCAACAGGACCCTTAAATTATCCTTAACAGGCCCTTGCATTCTTCTGTTCTATTAATTATTGCACATTCCCTAAGCCTATGTGCAGTTTTAGTTATAATTATTGCACATTCCCTTAGCCTATGTGCAGATTTAATTATTGCACATTCCTTAAGCCTATGTGTAGCTTTAATGGCACATTCCCTACACCTATGTGCAGTTTTGAATGCACAGTCCCTAAGCCTTTTATAATTATTTTTTAACTGCACTATCTGAGTTTAGCAGTTTAACAGCTAGTGGCACAAAGGAATGTTTGAATCTGTTCAGTTTACAGTTTGGGACCCTGAACCTTCTGCCTGATGGCATCAACTCAAACTGACTGTGAAGAACATGGGTTGGGTCATTGATCACCTTCCTGCTGAGCTTCCTAACAGTCTCCTCAAAAATTTGCTGAAGTGAGCTTGGGGCCACACCCATTATTTTACCTGCTCTTTTAGTCAAGGTAAAAATCTGTGCTTTAAGTTTGACTTTTCAAAACAATAGAAGGTAACATGGTGATCTAAATTTGTGATGCATTAGTAGTTAATAGCCCATAGAAGTAAAATACTCCCTTTTTAAAGCTTTATTGTTTTGTCTCAATACATGCATCATGAATTTCGGACTTCTGGTCATCGCACATTTAACCGCCACGTTTGTTTTCCCAGTTGGATGCGTCTATTGTCAAAGCCGATCTTTTCTAGTCTTTTGAACCATATCACTTTTGTATCTGGTTCTGATATTGTCATATTTTAGTTTTGGGATTCGGACATCGTAATTGTGTGGTTGTTGGATCCTAACAGTGAACTCCATAAATGCAAAAGGGAATCAGATGTGTGTGACTGCAAACCTCCGTTCAAACTGTTTTCCTTCCCAATGAAATTGAAAAATAGTGAAAGGTGAAGGTGATGGCAGTATTGATCCACGGGAAGAACGAAAAAGGAAACCTTTGACTGCCTAAATCATCCCGAGTTTGCAGTGAACATTTTGTATGTGGAGCGCTATTAAAGCAAAATCCTGTTTGTTAAGCGAAAGGTGCAGAAGATAAACAGACTGAGCTCGCACTTTCTTGTTGTTGTGGTTTTACAGCAACATCACGTCTCTCGGTCTCTTTCTTGGTGAAAACAGCTGGTGCCTTTCGCTTTGGCGTTGACTTTTTAAATTTGTAACCAAG